CTGAGACTGTGCCAGAATCAACCAGTTCCTGACATCGTTTTATTGCCGCATCAGCCTCTGCCTTCTTCTCACCAAGTTTGTCATCAAACATCTGCAGATATACATGTAAACAACCAAAAATTCAAACATTTATAAGCACTGTACAAGTATGTATGTGTAAGTACATGTACATGGGATTTAAGCCATAAATTAAATACAACTACACGCACATCATGTAAAAACTTTGACATACAGTACTTCTATACTATGACTCAAGATACCAGCAACAATTTTCACCATTTTGAAACTTGCATCACTGATTGAAAATACCGCTGCCTTCACCATTGCTAAAACACCTTCATAATAAGTGTTACACTTACATTGATTTCCTCAATCTGAGCATTGATGGCATCTATGTCTCTGGCAACAGGATCCATATTGTCAAGGTCATCCTCAAGGTCACCAAGGGAGGTTTGAAGGTCACGTAGGTTGTTCTGCAGAAAAAGATTGCAATTATGTTAATATAGCAATGTACATACTGATTCATCCTCCCTGAAACCAGATGACACTAGATTCACCCTAATCTTACAGTTTATGTAATACCTGAATGGTAACATTTGTTTGGCTTCATGTACTCTTCTCCAAAATAAAACCTAATCAAGCACCATACTACTAGTTCATCTGTATGTTACTTCATCCTACCTGAAACTGGTTCAGCTCATGTAGGCCTGACTCTAGTTCTCCACACAGCTCATCAATTCGACTGCTCAGTTTCTCACAGCGATCCTTCGCAGCCTCCAGTGGACCACGGATCAGGCTTGAGTCCGTTCCCTCGGGTGCGTCTGCAAGGACGCCCTCCCCAAAGTCCTTGGCATAGTCTATCTTAGACTGCAGATCAGCCACTTCAGACTGGAGATTCTAAAACAAAGGAAAGTAGTGGTTACAATTCTGTAACTTTGTCTTTATGAGAAAGAAAGAATAAGTTTATGTCTGCAACAGAATGCATAGATGCTACTAATACTCAGTAAATTGTTAAGAATATTACATTTAGAGACTGAGTCATACATGTAGATTTCTACATGATTTCTTTCCTTCAGAGAACAAACTGGATTTTGACCATCTACATTAAGTTTGCTGGAAGAGGCATCCCGATAAGTGCATGACTGAAGACTTGTAGTCAACATTCCCAGCTGAACGTACCTTGAGGTTCTGGAACTGTTTGCTGTCTCTGGCCTCTGGCCCAAGGTTCTCCTGCTCTGCCAGCTTGTCCTCCTGCTTGATGAGCTTGTCCTGGACGTCTTGAACTGCTTCGTTGAACTCCTTCAGACGTCCTAGCATGTCCTCCAGGGATTGCCGCCTCTCTCCCAGGCCTGAACATGATAGGAAAGGAATCATCAACCTTTCATCCTGCGTGTTTTAAAGAAAGCATCAGCACTCTTAAGGTTACATGTATCTTGCCCAACCTGACTACAAAGCTGCAGAGACTTTGTACCTTGTCCCAGCTGCTGGTATCTAGCGTTGAAGTCAGCGGTGGTGTCCATGACACTCTGGTCGTCGGCTTCACAGCTGTTGACGAGTGCATCAGACACAGAGTTGAGTGACTTCACACCTGGCTCATGCTCCTGACCCTCCTTCTCAAGGAGCTGCACAGGAGAGGGTAGGTTAAGATCCTTGCCTTGTTGTGGAATAATGTCATTAAAAAAACAGCACAGATTTATAAAGCAATGTACTTTTGTGCAAAGTACATGACTAGTACATGTACTTCTAAGCATTTGTTCAGAACAACAGTCATTATCACACAAAAGGCTTTGTACTATACACAACAAGACCTTCAAAAGTTCCTTCTTCATACAGTGTACAATGATCTTATCAAATCTTTTTTCACAATGTCCAGCATGCATCTACATGTATACATTGTCTACATGTATGTCAACAATGACAAAGGCTATGGCAACATTATATCACCTCCACTTCTGTGATCTGGTCTAGTAGTTCATCCAGCTGAACGCTGACGGGACTCATCGCCTCCAGCTGTTCTTCTGCCTCGTGTAGCCATGGCAACAGGTCTTCCAGGAGCTGTGCATATTCCTCCGCAGCTTCCTTACAGGTCTGGTGGGAGATGAAGGGAAAAGTTGTCATCAACAAGGTAAAGAAGAAGTACAATTCTGGCCTTCATTACACAGTGGAAAGCTGTTCTGAAAAGCCCATATATATTATACCTGTACTTTCTCCTTCCTGGCCTCCGCCCGGTTGCCGAGATCCTCCCATTTCCTCTTCAGCTCCTCCAGCTGATCTTCCAGTGCTGCCCTGTCTGCACCACGGGTCTCACTTAGCAGTTTCTGGCCTTCAGATAACACTGCCTTCACTGACGGGTCTTTGGTGTTCAGTTCTTTGGTCAGATCCTGTGGAAATGGGTCACGATTCATTAAACAAAAGCTTCCAAACACTTAAGAAACTTTCCGCTCTAAAACATGATAGAATCAGTTGCATATCCTGGTTTTAAAAATAATCTGGTTTAAACTTCCTAACATTTTAATAAGACTGTGAACCATCTCCATTTCTAGTTCTGCCCCTTTATTCCTCATTAACAGTAAATAAAGCAATACTAGAGAATGGTACTTTTTGACAACCATTTTCAAATAATCACTTCTTGATGATAATTACCTGTATGTCTGTCCACTGCTGTTCCAGTTTGTCCATGTCAGCAGACACAGATTCCTGGCTGTCCAGCTGCTGTTCCTTGTCCTTGACCCAGTTCAAAAGGTCGTCAAAGGACTGCTGGAACTCTTGAGAGGACAGCAATGCTGCCTCCAGCTTCTGCTGTCTGTCAGCTAAAGAAAACAAATAAAAGGCTTGTTCGGGTTGTTTTGTATTGTACAACATAATCTTCGAGAGTTTCTTGCTCTCGAACAGGATGCAACTCAATCTGTTTTTCTTGCATCTAATTAGTTTCAATATACATATATATGCAAATTTCACCTCATTCCTATATTACAGTACTCATCATCATCATCATCATCGGTCGGCTGCAACGCAGGCGATCACAAGTCCATTCCACGACCGCCGGTCAGCAGCCAGCGCAGCAATGTTGTCAGGGCTCAGGTCACCTAAATTACAGTACTAAAGAAACCCTACAAACAGTTTTCAAAAAAATATTTTCACAGCAGATTAACAGCTTACCAATTTTGCCAGCCACTCTGTTGAAAGGACCCTTGACAGCATCCAGTCTCCTTCCCAGTTCAGCCTGCATCATAGGATCATCGTTCAGAGCCTGAAGCTTCTCACAGGACTTCTGTGCCTCCTCAAGTTTGGGCTGCATGTTGGACAGTTCCTCTTGCAACATCTTGGCTTCCTCCATTTGTTCCTTTACCACATCAGGCTGTGAGCTGACAGGTAATTGGCCATTCAGCTTGTCAGTCACTTCAGGCAGCCAATCAGAGAGCTCCTTAGTGGCATCACTAAACTTCTGACCCTCTTCCATGGAACCAGCAATCTTGTCCTCTCTGCCCTTCAGTTGCCCAGTTAGTTCCTCCCACTTCTGATTGACAGCTGCCATCTGTTGACCAATAGGGGAAGCTTTGGCAGCATCTGCATCCATGGAATCAAGGATTGCTTGTCCTGATTGGTTGAGCTGGTCTAGTTGAGGCTTGTGGCTCTCAAACTCACTTAGGATGACCTAAACAAAAGACGTAAATGTCAAATACACCAAAAGTCATACTGTAACATGATTATTTTATGTTAAAACCCCCTCTACATTCTACAACAATCACCATTACCTACAGAGACCTCCCTTCATTAGGTACTTCTAACAGCAAGTCTAAATTGTATAACATTAACAGCTATAACATAGCCCCAAGGCACTCCATTTCCTCACCTCCACTTGCTGCTGTTGGTTCTTCAGCATGGCTGCATCGATGGCCAGCGGGCCCAGCACAGCCACCATCTTCTCCTTGTCAGCCAGCCAGGAGGACAGCTGCTGCTGTGCTGCTGTGAAATCCTGCAGGTTTCCACTGGCTGCTTCCAGCTGCTGCTGTTTGCTGGCCATGTCCTGCTCCAGCTGTTTCCACTGGTCATCTGCAGGAATTAAAACAAGCACAGTTGAATGGTCTAATATGACAGAGCTGTTGAGGTAGATTAAATGCACCAAGTAAATCCTTTCAAATTGGCATTCTAAATACCACCAATACAAGCTGCTGTACCATAACTGCATGGCATTTAACACTATCCCATAGTAGTCTGCAATATAAACATCCAACAAAGCTGTACACAAGATGTTGAAGACTTAGAGACCCTACCTATGGCGCTGAGTTTGTCCATGACCTTGTCGGTGCCCTCTGCGTCAGGTTTCTCCTCCAGCAGTGCCTGTGCCGTGTCCTTCAGACTCTGTCTCAGGGTAGTGTGGTGAGACAGACCCTCCTGAAGGGCCTGGGGAGACAGGACAAAATAAGTCACTCATGTCTTTACAGAGGTCCTACACAAGGCAAATTACTCAGATCTCATTGCTATAACTGCAGGACTACAAAAAGTACATTGTATTCATTCCCCAAAAAGCTAAGATTGCATGACATTGCATTGCTGTTTTCCAACTAGGGTGAGAGATGTACAGTTGAGCACTTCAGACCATCCTGGCTAGGTGTAACAAAGGACTGTTACCTATTTAGAATAGTGGCAAAGTACATGACTGTGAAATGTACATATTGCTCACCTTTTGCTGCTGTATCTGTTGCTGGACTGTCTTCGGGTCAGTTGCCGTGGGAACCCATGACTCGGCCTTGGCCTTGGCATCTGCCAGCCATTCTGCTAACTCCTCCCCCTCCCTCTGGAACTTCTCAGCCAGACCACAGGTGTCCTGTAGGTCAGCTTTCCTGTTCTCTAGCTCATCCCCGAGGGAGCTGTACCTGGAGTTGGCATCAGCCAGCTGCTGCTGCATGGCCACCACTTCTGTAGAACACAAGTTACCTTGGTTACCAACCTCCAAGTTCACTCCACGTTATCATATTTCAAGTCTTTTCAAGATAATTCACATAACAATTCACATCTTTACTTGTTAATACACAAAATTGTTAACACTCATTATTCAGTAAATATTAACGAACAACATACATGTTTGTACAATTTCATGTATTTGAAATGTTGGCATCATCATTTCCTTGATTCTTACAAGCACACAACAGGAGCGACCATGCCCAGATGGAAAAATGGAGACTTCAGAATTGGGAGAATTCAGACATGAGAACAAGAAAACATGAAGGCTGGGAAAGAAGGGAAATGGACATGTGGGAAAGAGATGGAAGGAGGAAAAAAAGTTTTCATGGACTTTTATTACATCTCTACTCATGAAAATTTTATCCTTTCTTGGACATTAAGACAAGTATGAGGAAATAAGTGGGAGCTTTTATCTCAACAACTGTCAGTAGTACACCCTTCTTCATTGGTTACCAGGAGATAAGTATACAGGTAGGTGGGCAAGTCAGGGAATGTGGAAGAAGGAGGGTTCCATTTTCAGTCCATAGAACAAACAGTCACTGTGCTAACAGAGGGGTTTTGGCTTTTCTCGTTGCCACCTTACCTTCAGATGGGAGACCGTTAGTCTCGGCATGGTCAGTGCCGTTGTGGCTGATAAAGCCGCTGGAACTGCGAGACATACGATCAGGGCTGGTCACACCTGGGGGAGGGGGCAGGCCGGGGTCAGTGTGTCAACGACTCGCCAGGACAACACAAACACCAGGGGTACATGCACATGGGTTAGGGCCTCAGTAGGAGGGAACTGGCTGTCCAGCATTAAACACAAAGTACTGGCATAGAATCAAACAGTGGCAGTCATTACTCGAGTCAAGTGTCAGTCTCAAATGAGTTACAACAATTATAGATTAAGGTAACAGAAAGAAATCATATTTGAGTGACATCCAGTACCCACCAGTCATTGTCTTAAACAAGCCAGTAAAACAATACAAACATGAAATTTCAACAAATTATTCCAGTCAAAGTCTAAAATGCTTAAAAGCAAGATTTTCCTTCAGCCTAACTTAGAGGATTTCTTGCTCTAAACCATTGGATAATTTGGCTATGGCAACAGGAGGATAAAAGGCAACAGGAGGATAAAAGGCTGTACACAACAGCACATCTAGTATAGATTTTCTTTATGTTTGAATGGGCAACAAAGATCAGGAGTACAGCTTAAAATGGCAATGACAACTTAAGTCAGTGAGTCCAGCATGTAAAAGAAAACTAAAAATGAAGTGACTATCTTAGTTGTAGCTAGATTGAGTAAGAGGATCGTCCCAAAAATTTTAGCCCCCTAAAAAACTTTTTAACAACATTTTTCACCAGATCCCCCTCCCTTTTCTCTGAAATTACCATTCAGTTTGAAACATTCTCAGGGCAACCTGAACTAAAAAAATCTAAATCTACCCATTTCCCCCTTCAGCCTTACCTGGAGAAGTGATGCCCTTGTGTTTGGGTGAGCTGGAGGGAGTGAGGTGTTTGCTGGGACTATGTGGTGTGGTTGCCTCATCGAATGCAGGAACACCCAACTTGGCACCAAGGTCATTCACCTTGTCCAGCTTGGCTCGGAAGTTTTTGTGTTCCTTGATGAGGGGCTGAACACAAAGGGAAACATCATTAAGCTAGTCAGTAATGACAAACGCTATTATGACCCCAAATGCTGCATGACGAATTCTAACAAAGTCTCTAAGTAATTTAAATTTAAGAAAACTCACCATGATCTCCTCCATGAGCTGCTTGAGCTTGCTGGTGTCTACAGGGACGGGCTGTAGACTGGCGACGCGGTCCTCCATGTTGTGTAGCCAGTCCTTCACCTCCTCCAGACCAGTGTTGTACTCTGCACTCAGCTGCTGCTGCACGGCCAGCTGACTAGCTCTGTGGTCAGGGAACGAGACACAGTTAAGTAATCTATGTCAACATACAATTGAGAAACTGCTTTTTGGCATAACATACAATGAGCATTGTAAGTAGAAGGACCTTTAAGTCAATGCAACAACAAGTAGCCAATCAGAACCAAAAGCATGACAGCTGACAGTCAATTATCATTAACAACACTAAGGAAAGTAACCAATCAGTGAGAAGGCCACAAATACAAAGATGCCAACCAACAGCAGTGTCATATGAGCTGTAAACCAATCAGACAGCACTATTTTCAGTGGATGGCCAATCAGCACTACCCTAGCTAGCAGCAACTATCATTTCAGCACCAAGGCAGCCGTAGTACATAGGAATCCGTTATGATTTTTTGCTTGATAGTCCCCACCTGTCCTTGAGTAGTTTGTTGAGGTTGTCCCAGGCCTGTGTTGTCTTGGCGATGTTTTGTGTGACGTAACCCGTGTCACCAGTCTTCATGTCTCCCACCAGCTCGTTCCCAGCCTGCACCATGTTCTCTAAGCTGTCCTTGTGGGTTTCTACTGCACCAGTGACCTCCTGAAATAAAAACATGTTGTTACTGAATATGTTGAGAAGAAAAATGATGAATATTGGTGGGTGCTGCTGCTGTGGACTAGGACTGTATGGTATTTCCCACATTTCCCTAGCAGACTACACAACAAACCATTGTGCTGATATTCATGCTAAGGGACTATAGCAATATTTTCAATGCTCTTATATAGTATAGAAAATTTTAGGTATTTTATGACATCTGTCTAATACTATAAGGATGGACAATACACACAAATAATTGTAGCTCAATAAGACCTTTTGGAAACCCTTTTTAGCCGATTGAAGTGCTGTTTCTCATTAGAACAAAGTCTATGTAACATGGTGTCTCACCTTGACCTTGTCTTCCAGGTCCTTCAGGTCACCATGTACAACAGGCTTGGACTCCATGGTCTCCATGGCAACAGCTAACCAATCCTGCAGCTTCGTCCTTTCATCCTCAAACTCAGCAAATTTCCCTTCTATCCTGTTCAGGTCCTCTGTCCTCTCTTCGGTTTGATGTTTGACCTTGGCATATCGAGCAGTGATGTCGTCCAGGTACTCCTGCAGGTTAGGTCCCATGGTGGGGGAACCTGAGGCAAGGACTTTCCCACAGGTCTCCTGTAGGGAGGCGACGGTGGCCTGCTGACGGCTCACATCATCAGCTAGCACCTAGGATAACAAAGATAGGAAATTCAATAGTACTGCTTTAACTCAGATATACATGATGTTAGCTGCACCCTTTCCTTAAAACCACTTATGTCTTGACTGTTTTTTTTTCAAGTGGGATTGTAACTGCTCTTAGTTGTTTCAATAAAGATATGAAAAATTCAACACTAAGAAGTTTTGAAACCTGTCCTTCCATAAACAGCACCATACAAGTCTACAGTAGAAAGGTACAACATTTTGACTTTCTCAGCATCTTAAACTTGTAAGCAACATTGACAAAACACTTGGCATCTTACAGTTGCCTCAGCAGTGATACTGCAGCTTCTCACCTTATGATCAGCGGTCTGCTGTGCCAAGGCCTCCTTGTTGACTGTGACTGCACCCTGTGTGGCCAGCTTCTTCTCCGTGTTGTCCAGCCAGCGAACAACTCCGTCCAGGCTGCCCTGCAGGCTCTGCGACTGCATCAGGGCTGCCTGCAGCTGGTCTCCTCGCTGCGAGATGGCCTCGTTTACAGAAGCAACCTGGTCATCTATTGCACCTGTGGAAAAATAATCCATCACATAAATCTTTGGAGCATTGCACCTTCAAAAATAACATTCTTGTGCCAACTCAGGTCCTAAATTGTATGATCTTTGACTAACTTGATTTAGCATGAATCTTTCAGACATAGCTCAGTACTCACTTAAGGTATTGTTGACATCTTGGGAATCAGCTAAGGCACCCTGAGTGTCCAGTAGGGCGTGGCCAGCCTGCCGGGTGTGGTCCACCTGACCAGAGTGTGCCAATACTTCTGACTGGAAGGCCTGGAAAACAAGGCAAATTTTCATATAGTATTCAATCATCTGACATACAGTTATATTGGCCTGAGTTACATGTAGGAACTACAAAGGTTTTGAAAATCACACACTAGGAAATACTACTAGTCTTGTTAGGAAGTGCGGTGCATTACTATGCTTTCCTAACATACAATGCCCTCATTTATCCATTCTTAGCAGTATTTGTTGTTAAAGTTTATAGTGTGTTTGTTTCAGATCAAACAAAGTCTTAAAAAGTCTCACAACAAAGTCTTTTGAAAATCTTGATGTGTAGAGAAGGGACCTCTTCGTGATATGCTTGTGATGGCTAACCTAGTACTTCGTGTATATGCATAATACAATTCAGCCATAATCCATGACATGCAGCATACATACCTTCAAATCATCAATCTGCTTCTGTATTGATGCAGGGTCTCCCCCTATTGGCTCGGATGCCTTCTGATCAGCTGTCTCCTTGGCACTCTGTAACCATGGTAACAGGCTGTCCACAGCCTCTTTGTATTGCCTAGCAACAAAGAGGTTGACAGATGTAACGAGTAAAAATCAGTCAGTTTCAAAAACTGTAACAATGTTGTCTTTTCTTAGAATAAAACAGAGTTTCTGTGTTTGAAAATAAAAGTTGTTTAGCCCCTTTGGACAAACAGATTTTCCTTCAGAAAACCAGTTTAGAGGCTGGCCATTGCAGGCTGAAATCAGCATTTTGAAGTTTCTCATCCTTTAGCAGAATGATAGTATTCAAGGTTACACTGGACAACCTACAGTCTTCAGTACAACTACAGCTACAGAATGGATTTGTACTGAGTTTCAGACTTACTTGTGTTTGTGCACAGCGTCCCCGAGCTGCTTGCCTTCCCGCCCACACTGTGTGTGGAGGTTCTGGTAGCGCTGGGCCAGGTTGTCCAGTTTGTCCTGCACTGTGGGGCTCACCTCCTCAGGACTGAAGGGTTCCTCTGGTTTAACCTTGGCATGGAACTTACTCAACTTCTCCTCATGTGCCTGTTGGGAAGGAAGTGCTAAGTTTATTCTTCTTCATTTTCCCAAGAAACAATATATACGTGTACAATACACTCAGATAATTGTGTCTCTGTAGATAACTTAAGTTGGGTGGTGAAGGATAGTGTCCACAATATATCTAGGTAACAAAATCACAGTTAAGAAGACATTGACATGAGAAGTAACTGCATTTCCTTTACCATAAAATTTCCAGACACTTGGTCTACGTTGTATATGTTGTAATCAATAAAAAGGGCCGATGTACCTTAGCTCGGTCCAGGAACCTCTGTCCAGCCATTGTCACAAACCTCAGGTCACCCTTGTGTGCAAGGACGTCTTCTGACAAGGTCTGAAAATTACACATTACAGAGACACTGGTCACAAACTTGTTAAAACAATGGCATGTTTTGTCTGTATTTTGCCTTGCATTACAATAAGTTTTAAAGGTTTCCTTTCAATATTGCAAATTCTATGGGCGTAAGATTTCAAATGTCAGGTTGCTCTTGCAGAAATGGTGTAACAGTTATATGCAGTAACATGTCCTGTTAGAAAGATTTCAGTAAAACTGCATATGTAAATTCAATCAAAATTGACCTAGGACATAAAATAGATTTTATGTTTCATTCAATCATGTTGTACCTTTTGCTTGTCTAACTGTTCCTTCAGTCCTTCAAGTTCGGAGGCCCCTTCTTTCACTCCCTCCATCTCTCCTTCTGCTTCTTCCAACCAATCCTGAAAGGTCTTACATTCTGCCTCAAACTTCTGCAGCTCGTCCGTCATGGACTGCATCTGTTTTAGCCTGGTCTCTGATTGATCGTTGAGGTCGTCGTACATGTTCCTGAGCTTTGATTGGCCCTTGATGACGTTCTGCCTGGCCCTGGGGGACAGCTGGTCTCCGTGTGCAGCGATGAGCTGCTGTGCCTCCTGAAGGGCGAGCATGACCTCAGGCTGCTGGCTGCTGATTTCCTGGTGAAGGCTCTGCAACAGCAACAGAAGGGAATATGAACTCCAGCATACCACTGATCTTCATACAGACTACAACACAAATCCATCCTGTTTGTACAACATCATCTTACTTTGTGAGCAGTCTTCCTACAATGACTTAGATGGAAAAATGTTTGCAAACAACTGCTGTGCTACCTCATGTTCCTGAGTCTGTTCTGTGAGTCCCTGCAGGTCCTGCAGTGCAGGCTCCTGCTCACAGAGGTCGCTCCTGTACTGTTCCACAGTCTCCAACAGATCTTGTAACCTTTCCTGGGCAGCTTGGCTCTGCTCTTCCACAGCAAGCTAGGATGGGAAAAATACTCCTAAGTAGGGTAGCTTTGTTCAACTTTGTTCCAGTAGTCTATCTGAATATTCTAAATTTTTTAAACCAATGTTAATGTACACTGCTGTGAGCCTGTGTGCATTGATATTACCAGGATTTTAAGCTCATCCATACCTATATGTCTATAAATAGTATGAGCAGCAATTGACAATAGACACCAGCATGACCAGGCCAGCTTAGCTACGGATTTGTATCTCTCTGTCTTCTGCAAAATATCTAATAAACCATTAGACCATGAGATCGGCAAAGCCGTGACTTTCCTACCTTCTGACTCTCCTCATTTCTCTGGTCCTCCAGAGTTTTGTCCAGTTGGTTCATCCTGGCTTCTGATCTGGCCTTCAGGTCACTGAACTCTGCCCTCAGGTCCTCTGCCAGCTCATCCAGTTCGTTGTACTCTTCCTGGTCCAGATAGCTCTCCTGACGGTCCAGGAAACGGTGCGTCTTCTGGACAACGTCTGCAACAGCCTGGGCATGGGCCTCGATATCATTGTGTAGTTCCTGCAGAGAAGCCAGACACTTTGTAGTAAAATCATGCAGTCTGCAGACTTGGTAGCTCAATCACGATAACCAATTATATGCTATGGATTTTCTCTTTTATTACCCTGCATATTTTACCATGCCTGGCTGGTTTCTTGCAGGCAGTTTTATCGGTTTGCTAGCCATAACCAAGGGTTCACCTCAATCACCATGGCTGGAAATTCGGACACCACTTTACAGGACAAATAAATTTATCCCAAGTTCGTTCTGATGGCTTCTAGGCTGTATGAAGTAAGACTTTTATCCCATCTTTTACCTTCCCTTTTACATGTGCTCCATGAAACTAATATTAGAATACTCATACAAGTATGTGTACAACCTGCCACCTGTTCTACTTATACCTACCTGATGCTGTCCGTGCTGTTCCTCTAGAACTGGAAGGTCACTGCTGATGGGCTCCTGCTGGTCCAGCTGTTCAGCTGCACCAGCTATCCAGTTCTTCAAAGCCTGCAGCTTTTCCAGCTGTTCTGCCTTCTGCTGGGCAACTCGGTCCTGGGAGTCAAAAAGAAGATTCATTGCCACAAGCCCACAATACTGGTAACCTAATCAGACGATAGTACTACTAATGGATGGCCAATCAGCACTAGCACTACCAGACTTTCAGCACCAAGGACATAGCAGTAAATGAGAGTCAGCAAATTTCCTCTTTTCACGAGGACTACTTTGCACATCTTCAATAAGAGCAAATATAGAAGACTCAAGAAGAGGGGATGGTCATGACACAGGATTTTCCATAAATCTTTACTCCTCCAGCTAGTTAAATTCTCCTTTTTTAGAGAAGCTCATGAATTTGTAATGTTGGGGACTATTTCCCCCATTCAGTTTTGCACAGTTGTTTTTAATACAATCACTTTCTTATCATTGGATTTGATAATGAATAATGACAATGAAATATGTTCAGATCCTCCACTCACTTTTCTTTCGCTCTCCTTCTCCTTTGCCCCCAGCATGTCTTCCAGCACCTCTATCCTTCCCTCGTTCTTCTCCTTGATGTTGTTGAAGCCCTTCTCCAGGTTGTTGAGGTCGTACTGCAGGTCCTTGGCCTGCTCCACGCTCAGCTGGTCCTTCTGTGCTGCCAGGAACTCCCGACCTGCCTTCAGGGCAGCGTCCACATCAGCCTGGTGCCCTGTGATGTCATCAGCTATGGCCTGCCAACAACAACAAGTCTTAGGATGCAAACATAATAGAGCAACTCTCCCCCAAAAAACAACTAAACCAGACCAAATTTATGCAACTGTAACTCTTGTATATCTTCACTTAGCCATAAATACTTTTAAGTCTAGCAATCGTGTATTTCTTGTGTCATATAGAATATATTCATACAAATGGATACTAAAAACCTATTCCATAGAGGCATCCAATATAGTATTTGCATCATTCTACAAGGAAATATTGTGCATTGTATGCAGTACAGCAAATTACAACATAATGCTTACTGCTTTGCATACAGCATGAACATGTTTTTTCAGGCTTAAAACTAGTAAATGTACTTTAAAAAGCATGAAGCTGATGATGTATAGCAGATAGCTGTGGATGAGCTGTAGACTGGAATGACCCAATGAAGAAAACTGTCACCAAGTGGTATGTACTAGAGCAGTCATGTTGTTGTGTTAATGGGTTAATATGGGTTTATATAATTTGCTATCCTCTGTGTAATTCTCTTGAACAGTCTCTCCCAGACTTCTAGATTCGGTAAATAGACTACAGAACTGGCAAATGAAGCAGGCATACATGTAGTTACAATGCAAATTGGCAGTATAGAAAAAAAACAGCAATGTCTTTATGTTCACATAACAACCCTTCAGAAAAACAACCAATTTCACAAACTACTCAACCAGCCAATATAAATTATGTAAGAATAAATTATTTGCTTGTAACTGATGAATTTGCCAAATTTGGAGAATCTGGTAGGAACTTCAATATGACTGCTGCAGTACCTTGGCACTGATGGTTACAGTAAAGTATACATTTTTGTAAGCATGGAACAGTGAAATGAACTGATGAATGATGTCATGAAATGGGATGAACAATGACACTGACAATGAATGTTGATGAAAAGTGAAATGACATGGAAGCAAACGGCTATTCCGAGATCAGGGTGCGCCAATGGCATCGTGCATTGTTATGTCAATCTTACTCTGTATTTATCGCATTCTGTTGACATTTATCAAACTTGTTATACTAGTACAGTTATTTTCCAGACAATCAGGAAGAGATTTGGTGTTAAGATGTTTAAAACTTATGCTATGGCCAATTTCAGACCAGAAATTGGCATAAAATCTACGTTATGCTGTTGCACTTGAAAAATGCCAGTTTTTGAAATATGCTTTTAAGTAATTTGGGAACAAAAAAATGGAATGAAAAGATTTGCAATATGTTCAGACATGCTCAGTCTGATATGTTTTGCAAAAAACCTGATGATGATTGGAAATTTTTCTTTTCTGGAGCGCATTTATCAATATGTTGTACACGTTATGTAAAATTCATAAATTAAGACATTGCAATTAACTTATCTCCCTGTACTAAAAAGGATGGTGATAGAACTGGGCATTTTGCATGTTATGCAAGGTACATCCATATATGACACAAAACATGTGTTTTTATGTTGCTTGTCCTTTGGGGTTAATATGGCTGATGGCTTACAGTTACCTGTCTTTTTTGTCCGAGAAAATGTGTAGTGTCCGTTGCTCGGTAATAACTTAAAATAGAAAAGCTGTGGGTGCATATGATTTCAGGTTTTGAAACAGCTGAAGATGCTGACTTAAAACACAGTAGCTATTTCAGTCTATTGCTGTAATTGTATGAAATAATGTCAAAAACCTCAAGGGTGTAGTGTCCGTTGCCATGTAGTGTCCGTTGCCAAGTATACCACATATATATAGGTACATTAATTACATTTTGTTGCAATCTTGAAGTAATTTGTCATTTTATGTTATTTCTGTAGCATTTTGTCAACCCCTAAATGACAGGTCTTGCAAGATTTGGTGTTCTTGTCATGTACTTGAGCTGCCAGATGTGGCCGGCAACGGACACTACAGCTTAGCTGTAGTGTCCGTTGCCGGCCACATTTGAAATGAGTGGGCTAAGTTTGGATAGAGCACAACTTTTGAACTGAACGTCTCTATCCAAAAATTTAAAAAGTGCAATGTATGGCAACACCTCTAGTGCACTTTTCTGCACTGAAAGTAGAAAAATATAAAACTTGAAAAATTGGCCCAAGTGCAACCCTTTGGCGCACCCTGATCTCGGAATAGCCGAAAGCACATGAACCCTAAGCATGCAGGGATGAACTTTATTGTGTTTCAGTAATACATACAGGTACATGAAGCAGTGTCCATTGGAAATTACCTAACTATGACTTCAACGTGATGAAGTTTTGATCCCTTTTGAACATGCACAGTTCACAGTTTAACACACCAAATAAACATCACATCAGAGTTAGCATGCACAACAAAGGAAATTATACAACAAATAGGTTACAGACTTTTTCTGGATGACATTAGAATAAAAGTTATGATTATTTGAATGAAGGTCATGAAGTAGAAAAACACAGCAACTTTTCATTACTGTTTGGAACACCATCAAGGTTACAGCAACAGATGATGAAAAGTTAAAACAGAACAAACTCAGTGGTTGAAAGAAGAATAAGTACGGGGAACCACCACAATAACAGGTGTGCAATAGAGAGAAAGTTACTTCTCTCCAGGCCCTCAATTCTTATACCAATGACAGAATGCATGACTCTTTTGGCCTTTACACCCCTATTATTAGTGGTACATCCCCAGAGTTACACCACTGCACCAAGGCTGTCACCAGCATCACCACACCCTCTACCTTCTGTTCTGCCAGTTGTTTCTGCAGTTCTGACAGGTCGCCTCGGACCAACCGCTTCTCGCTCAGGGTGTTCTCCGTCCTCGCAATCCACTCCAACAGATCTGACACCTTCCCAGCATGCTGAGCATGCTGGGTGTCCATCTGTGCCTGAAATAGCGCAGCAGTTTTGTTTGAAATCAAATCCTTTGGTGTACTATAACATGTGAGAAATCATTACAGCAGTTTCTCACCAGCTTTTGAGGAAAAAATGACTATAAAATAGTTTTGATGATGGAAAACTTCCAAAGAGGCTGCAAAAAGATTAGATTTCCATCCCAATGAATTTGTGTCAAAACTACAACATGCCAGTCATAAAAACATCCAGTTGAACTTTTGTGGCATCATCTTGTTATGTGTTGAGAAGGTTTACAAAGAATCCTTGCAGTACACATAGCTTGGGCGCACATAGTGAATCTCAATCTCTAACATGGCTTAGGATAAAAAGATTCCGATTTTCCCCAACATTAGCAAGCAAGCACACTCAAAGGCCTACTTTCTTCCAGAAGAATAGAGCATTCAATAATTATGAACTCTCTTCATAGAAAGAAAGAATTAACAATAATTCCTTGAGGATTCTGTTAAAATTTGATGCTGGATTTTCAACACTGAAAAACAACCATGTGCAACCATTCACATTAGTACTGCAAAGTGTTGCTGTTATCAGTACATTATCACACCTTTCAGTGAAACATTAAAAAAAGGATGCATTCAACATCAAAAAGCCAACAACAACAAACTACTGCAGACATGAATTGCTAGAACAGGACATACATGTAACAGTTAACAAGTACAAACATCAAGACTTAGTTGTACATACACTAGTCAACATCACAGATGCTAGTCAAAGGAAACAATTATCATAAACATACATGTAAGTTACATGTAGCAATTACTGCATCTAGACACAGAGCGGCTACAGACTTGCCAGGTAAGGGACAGGGGTGGCTGTCTTATGAGACTACCACACTGACAGCTACATGAACAGAAGCAAGGGCCACATCATAGGGAAGGGCTTGCAATCACTGCCATCAGATCTAGAAGTGTTCTAGAGACTATGCTTGGAGATTAAGCTATGGAACGACTGGAAGACAATGATTTAGAGTGCGCGCAGAGAGGTCGGGCTGCATGATTGGGTACATCTGATGCAGCAATTATTGGGGCAGCAAATCACTGATCAGTCCAGTGTGTGTGACTATGATGGTCCTTTATCCACGGATTGTTACTGATTGGTTGGTGATGGTACAGGGAGTGTTGAAAAATTGAGATATGTGTGTTTGGACTGGATTAAAAAGTTTTTAAAGCATTGCTTTGGTGTCCTTTACAAAAAAGAATTATAAAATAAAAGTTAATCATCAGACTAGGAAGATGTGAACATATACATGAGAAGAAAGTACGGACGAACAACACAAAGAAGTAGGTGAAATCAAACATGCTATGCTATTTTGAACATGATTGTCAATGCATTTCAAACAAATCAACAACAAAATCAGGCAAAATTATTAGGAAATCAAACAACACTAGATAGATCTTCATGACATGAACAGTCATGCACTGTAAACTACAAAAGAACATGCAAACATGTTTAAGAACACTGTTATAATGCAGAGAAGCAGGTTTAGATATGTATGCAGGCTGAGAAGTTTGACAACCAGAGATTTGGCACTGTGTGGAAGCAAGCGGGCACACTCCAACCTGTCTCACCTTCACATGAACATCCTGGGCTTTCAGCGCCAGCCTTTCAGCAACTTCCTCTGGGATCAGGCCAATGGCAACTGCCTCCTCGAGAGAAATCTCATCCCCCGTGTCTGGGTGGATAAGTCCCCCTGATGACAGCTGCTTGGCCAATAGTACAGCAGTTGTGTCATTGTCAAGGTGACCTTGCTGAGATGCCTGGAAGACGTTTAATCTCCTCCCTGTACGAGCATCGATGATACCTCCCTGCTCTGACTGAGCCTCCAGCAGGCTTGTGGCCGTGTCATAATTCACCAGCCCTCTTTCTTTAGCTTGTATGACAGAGATTCTCTCTCCTGTTTTAGGGTCCAGGATACCTCCAGTTCCAACCTGGGCATCTAGCAGGGCCAGAGCTGTTTGCTTGTCAACAAGACCCTGAGAAATAGCCTGTATGTCAGACACACGTTTGCCAGTTCTCGGATCAACGATCCCTCCATTTGCAATCTGTTCTTCAAAGATGCCCTGCGTGGTCTCCTGGTCAATGATTCCACGTTCCAAAGCCTGTAATACAGTGAGTCTATCACCAGTTTGTGGATCTATGATACCTCCAAGTCTGGCTTGAGCTTCTAGGACCTTCTGAGCCATCACAGTATTGATGAGTCCGCGCTTTTCTGCCTCCATCACAGACATGCGTTCACCAGTCTGTGGATCTCGGATGCCTCCATTACAGGACTCCCTCGCCAGAAGCTCAACAGCAAGTTCCTCATCAATGATTTCTCTGTCCAGAGCAGCTAATGTGGGGAGTCTGTCTCCAGTTTCTGTGTCCACGATACCCCCTCCCAGAAGTTGCTGTTCTAGAATGGGCAAGGGGCTCTCGGTGCCAACCATGCTAACCTGGACACTAGCCATGACCGCTGGTGCCTGGTCAATATCCATCTCCTCCTCATCTGCTTGTATCTTGTCATCTGCAACATCTTGTTCTTGCCTGTTAAGGAGACAGAGAGCCATGTCTGTGCTGATGACCCCTGCTTCCTGAGCATCTGCAATGGACATCAACTGACCAGACTTGGGGTCAATAATTCCTCCATTTTCTAACTGAGCTTCCAGAAGCCTCATGGAGGAATCACGGTCAATCAGACTGCGATCCTCGGCTTCTGTAACTGACAGCCTCTCGCGTGTGGCTGGGTCGAGGATGCCTCCACTCTTAGCCTGAATGTTGAGAAGGTCGTCTGCAAGGTCAGAGTCAATAATGTCCCTTTCTACAGCCTGTGGAACAGACAGCTTCTCCCCTGTTATAGGATCTATGATTCCACCTGTCGCCACTTGTGCATCAAGGAGAATCAAAGCAGTGTCCTCATCAATGATTCCACTTTCAACTGCCTCTTTGACAGAGACCCTGTTGCCAGTTTTGGGATCAATGACTCCACCTGTCTCTGCCTGTCTCTTCAGCAGTAGGAAAGCAGTTTCCTTGTCGAGAACTCCTTCTTGAAGAGCTTCCAGGAATGTCAGTCTGTTCCCTGTTTTGGGGTCAATCAATCCTCCTGTCATAGCCTGTGCTTCCAGTAAACTAAGGGCAGTGTCCTCGTCTAGAATACCAGAGATACGAGCTGCTGCAATGGAGAAACGTTCTCCAGTTCTCATATCAACGATGCCACCAGTGGCAGCCTGATTTTCAAGCAGCTTCATAGAGGCTTCTGGATCTACTAAGCCCTTATCTGCAGCTTCGACCAAGGAGATTCTGTGCCCAGTTTGTGGGTCTACAATACCTCCATGTGTGACTTGATCCTCCAGGTCTTTAACAGCAGTTTCTAAATCTGTGGCCTGAACCATTTCCTGATGTTTTTTGGAGCCCTGAATGCTACTTCTGTCAAGACTACCTGTTGGACTTGTGGCATCTTCCAGGTCTGTCATGATGGAGTCTATGAGCTCTGTTGCAGTCGTCTGTTCATCATCATCACCACTACGGTCAACTGAAATGGGCCCTTCCATCACTTGTGAAGTGACAACTGTAGTTGAAATTGAACGAGTCACTTCTGTACTTGTAAAATGTTGTTCAACAGAGCTTTCCTCAAATGAAGCAAGGCCTTGTGAAGACTTAGTCTTTATTGTTGTTGTAGTGGTACGTTGGCCATTTTCCCCCATCTTTACAGTTGTAGTAGCAGTAGCAGCAGCATTGGAAACCTTTTTCATTCCAGCTAGACCTTCTGCCTGTGACTGTCTAGCAGCTTTTTCTATTGTCATGGCAGTATCTTCTGGGCCCTTTTGGGGAGCTTTTTCAAAATGTTTTCCTGTTCCAAGTGGAGCCTTTTCCTGTGTTTTTGAGGCAGTTTTTACAGGCTCAGCAGCAGTGTGTGGTCCCGTTGGTTTGTCTCTTGCTGTGGATCTTGTCCTCTTAGATCTCCTTTTGGGGTCATCATCTTCAAGGATTTCCAGCTCTGGTCTTGGTGAAATCTCTGCCTCATCTGAGTCTTCATGGTAGGCATCTCCATCCTCAAAGGCCTCTTCAAAGATTTCCTCAAAGATGTTGGCATCATCACGCCCCACTCTTGTGAGATCCATCTCCTCTTCATCTGGAGAGGATGATGATGATGAAGTGGAGGATGATCTTGATGAAGATGCTGATGAAGAGTCACTGGCTGCCGATTCTGCTGCTGTAGCTGGACTTGGTCCTGGAATGTCTTGGTCTTTGCCCAGTTTCTGTTCCCTCAGTTTCCTCTCTGCTCTCCTTCCCATCTGCCGTTCTGTGGGCTTACGAAGCACCTCTTTCACTGCTCCCTTTTCTTTCGGCTTACCTATTTTACTAGTTCCCTTCCCTTCATTATCTACTGCACTTTTCTCCCTTTCTACTTTTGCTACATTACTTTGGTCCTCTCCCTTTTTCACATACATTCCCTGTACAGCCTCAAGCTCATCCACACCTAAAGAGACCGTATGTGTCTCAACAACAGTTGTAGTGATTACCTGCATTCCTTCTACATTCTCTGAGGTAGATACTACAGTCTCTATACTTCTCTGCGTCTCAACTCTGTCTGACTCTTCTGTTGCCAATCTAGTTTTCTCTGCTTCCATCAACTGTTCTGCCATCTGTGAGGTAACAAGCTCTCTTTTCTGGGCTTCTTCCAGGGACAGTTTCTCAGCTGTGTTTGGGTCCACAATTCCGCCTGACCGAACTTGGGTTTCCAGTATTTTGATGGCTGTCGGTTCGTTTATGAGACCTCTTTCCAAAGCCTCAAAGATCATTTCAGGATCGATCTCTATGTCATATGGTGACTGTAGCTCTATGTTGCCTGTGTCGGGCTGTGTGTCCGGGGCAAGTGAAGGTTCTGGAATGTCTAGATGTGACTGGGTTTCTGGTGCCTGTGTGGAAGGGAGAGAACTTTCACGTGATTTTGTGCTGGGGGAACTGGGATCAAGTGTTACCTGTGCGGGAGGAACTGCATGTTTTGGTGATTCTGTGTCGGGTCTATGACTAGGCGTTACCTGGCTTGGAGGGACTGAACCTTGGGATGATTCTGTGTTGGGCCTACCATGGGGTGTTACCTGGCTGGTCGCTTCATGCTGCTGCCGTTTGGCCTGGGAATGTTCACCTGCTGCTAGGGTCTGTACGAGGCTTTCTCTCATGACCTGTTTACTGGACTCAGGCATGGGGCCAACTGCTGATACAGGTTTGGGTGATTGCTTTTTCTGTGGCTCTCTTTCTCTCATCTTCACATCTAAGCTGCCTTCCCCAATGCCTGAAACTGGGCTATCTACTCTGCTTACATCTTTGTCTACTGTGGAATGGGCTTGCTTGACATTGGAGGGAGGTAACTCTTTTTGCTACCTTTTTAGGGAGATCAGGTTTATAACTTTGGCTCTGCTCTCTCACAGGTGTCTTCTCTATGTCAACAACTGGCTGGGCTGGAGGTTTTGAAAGACCTCGTATTTTAGACATTTTAGGAGGGAGTGCTGGGGGCTTATCTGTCACCTGTGCTACACTTTCCTCCTCCGCCTTCCTGGCTTCAGAATCAGAAGGTTGAAGACTAGCAATAGGGCTCTCCTGCCACACAAGGGTGGATTCTCCTTCTGAACCGTCCTCTAAATCTTCATCTTGTTCAGACAGACTATCTTTTACAGAGAGACTATCTTCCTCAAACAAGCTGTCTTGTTCTGACAGTGGTTCCCCTGCCTCCAAAGAATCTGAGGGAGTGTCACTATATCTTACAGCTGATTCAGATGGGGATGAGTCACTCTCTGTGGGGGTTATGTCCTCCTTGACAGTATGGACTGGGGAAATCTCCACTACTGTGTAAATTTGAGGTGTAACTTCTTCACTACCTTCAGCTTTGTCAACTACAAGCGGTGTTACAGCTTTTTCTGTTAGTATTGCAGCATGGTTATCTCTATTCCTGCCTGCCAAGTTAGCTACTGGCTGCACTGCAGTGCTCAGACTAGCTTTGCTGGGTCCTGACGCTTGCGTTGCTGGGCTAGCTCTAGCTCGAGTTGCAGGGCTATACATAGCTACAGCTTGGGGCTCTTCTATTCTTGTCTGTCTACTTTCGGCAGCTAAACCGGTTGGCTTGGCCTGAAATTGGCAAACACACACAAAGCAGAAGAGAACAAAGGCAGCAAATATAAACAAAATCAAACTGAAAGTTCAGGAATTCAGAAGTTCATCCAATAAATGCAGAGTAACTGTACTTTACATAATTCCTTCGGACAACTAAAAACACAAAGAAGAGCATACTGTAAATAACACTTAATCTTTGGGACGTATGCTCACTTTAAAACTTGTAACATATAACATGCACAAGCATTTTAAAGGAAAAAACAGGTGTTGTACAGCTACAACAGATTAGACAATCTTGAGAATCAATTGCAACATTGACTTCTGTTCATTGACTTCTGTGCTGAGGTCTCACCAAAAGAAGACAATATGGCGGGGGGTTACAGAAGACAGCTGCTTTATTATCTCTCAAATTGAGTGTCTGAGAGCCAACTTCTTTTGTATGTGATATACTTGAAGGATAACTTTTGTCAGATGCCAACTTATAAAGATAACACAGATATGACTGTGATTCTTTAGACATTTTTGCTCAAAATATTACTTGTGATTTACTATTCCTGGGAAGCAGCAGATCATGCAGCTATCTTTTATAAATCCAGCTCCACCAACATATCCTATTTGGAGACCAACATCACAACAGTTTTCCTAAGACAAGCACTCCAGTGACCCCACCTTTTTGTCCTGCTGTTGTTGCAGTGCAGACTGCAGTTCATCCATCCGAGCAGCAGACTTGTCGCAGACCCCTTCATAGC